TTTTGAAACCATCCTTCCTTCTACCAACTAATTTGCTCATTCATGCAAACTCTATTTTGTTTATACAGCCCTGCAGGAAAATACGCCGAGATACTTGCCATATGTCACAGGATTCACGAATTTACCCTTTTCAGGATCACAAATTGGAGTTTTATTTCTCGTAATCTCCTCTGCAATGTTGAGATTTTGTGCTATTGTACCTACGCATCGAGGCACATAGTTGCCCTTTAAACCAAAATATATAGATCTATTTCCCCCATAAGTCCGGATAATCTTCCCATATCTGTTAGAAATCCAGAGATTTGATACTAATCCAGCAGATGAGTCTATAGAATTATACATGTCGCAATCCTGACAACCTATGCAACAAATCCCACATAAAACCTATAGGGTAGAAACTAAAATTCGTCTCGAATAATATTGTAAATGTGTATCATGGATTTGAGATTTATTGGATTAAAACTTGTTCGTTCAAGTGAAATGAATGCTCGCATTATGTAATATGTTTTGTACCTGCACTTGCTATAATATAATAGATAATGGCATGAAAACATGTGTTGGAAAGGTAAGATTGTTGTAAAACTTGTGTCGTTCACTGAGGCCAAATCTCAATAGAAACATCAATATTTGGCGTAAAGACTCCCCTGGGTCAAGTTCGACAAGCATTGCTGAATTGGTTCTAACACAGTAAATTTGGAAAATCTTTATTTCAGAATTATGGTACAATAAATCTGTTTAGACTAAAATTCAAACTTGTTTGAATAATTCATGAGACTATTTGTCTCACTCAGAACACAACCGGAAGTGAAATGTCACCAACTTGGGAGTGTAAAATCATGTTTACAACAATACAGGCCGAGTTTGTTGAGCATGTTTCCAGGATAGACGATTGGCGGAAGTGAAATCGATGTTTTGCTACCATTTCATCTTATTACAGGATAAGCTATCCACGCATCCAACCCATCAAGCGTGGCGTGAAGTATGACTCCATATGTCCATCGTATTTTGCTGGCCAGGTATACTGCAACTCCACTCTGCTTGGCTTGACCATTTAAAATTAGACTTTGTGTAGTGTCCATTATCTCCAAACCACATCAAGATCTCCTGACTTTGATTATCTGTGGCTACATTCATAAAATCAAGTACCCACAAAAAAGCCTCGTTTTCTTCATTCTGGTGATCATGTAGTAGCACCAGTGGCAGAGAGATACATAAAGAGCAAAAAGAGAGCGCACTCTCACAATCATCTTCACTCATGGTCACGGTCCGTTCAGCCTGGACACAATTTTTAGCCTGAGCTTGGGCTTATGGAATCGTCATGTCCGTCCATCTGTCGAACGATAAAACTCAACCGATTGACTTGAAATTTGGAAAAAATTCGTAGTAGATATATTTAAGAAATCAAATCCGAAGTGTGCATGTTCAGTCAAGTAGGTGACTAGTAGATGTAGAACATTTGTACATAAATAGTCGTTGGTGCAGAATATTCTAAATGGTCATTGAAGGATGCAATTTGGCACGAATGTGGACATTTTATATTTGCCAATATGGAATGAAACACCCACACTGGTTTCGAACTTGAGAAGTGATGAAATGGTTCGGGCATATGAAGGCTTCACTGTCGTTTTTTAACATGCCCCTGCTGCATAAATGCATATTGCCGAACAAAAGAAAACGACACCTACGAAGAAGACATGTGAATAAGCCCTGAAGATTCGACCGATACTTACAATTCTACTATCCATAATTTTGCTTCAAATTGAAAATACGTCTGGTCGAGACATTTTGAATGAAGACGAAAAGAGGAGATGGAAGGATGAGACGATGCAACTAATAAAATATGAACATCTATCTCTCTTTGTACGCTATACGCTTTTTGTTCTTTTCTGGTGCGTTTGTGTGTAATTTTTCCAGACATCAAGTTCATACAAATGAGGAATGTGGAGAGAACCTCGAGAGACACACACATTTAACAATGGAGTGAAAGAAAGTCGACCACGAAGGGACGTGCAGTGAATAAAGCGCTGTTCCTTTGGTAGAACTTGTTACATGCAAGTGCCTGTCGGTTGGTCTACCGCTGTTTGCTTATTTTTTGTATTCAGGGAATATTCTATGTACTTCATGCCCTTGTTCCATTCATAAATAAGTAAATTTTCAACCAGGCAGGCCCACTCCTTTGCATGAATAGAGACTTTTGGGTATAATTATTTAAATATTTTCCTTTTGACAGCATCATCTTCATTTCTCCATTCCAATGGACTGTAAAAACGCCACTGTCAAGGATTCTTCCTCTGTAAAAAGAGTCTCTAACGATTATTTATGAGCAGTGTTACGTGAGAAAGAGAGAAAAAATGTAGAATATTTCGCTAAATTGTAACAAACTGTGAAATTTGATATGTGCAAATCGAAGTTTTTCACTGGATGCTTTTCAAATTTATGCAACTTTGTGTGCCGATGATCGCATCTGCATGTTTAGCTTATTCGTGGCTGAAATACGAAGTCGTAAATTTATAATATGCTCAAACAACAGAACGCCAATCACGTTACATAGTTCATGGCAAGCGTTTTTTTGGTGTAAAGAGCGTCACACTTCATTTCAGTCGCAAGTTTACACGCTCAGATATTGTCGTGGGTTGAGTAAATTACCCCGACAACGTGTTATCATTATTTCATGTCTAAATATGTATGTCTGTAAATTTTACAATGTCTGAGAATTTGAGTAATTGGTGTCATTTTTTTAGAGTCTGAATCAGAGAGTCAGTAGGGTCATTATTTCATGTACGTATGTCAAGTTAGTACTTATGCATGATTACTGATGCCCGATGTATGTACTCTAAAGTAATAAAGCCAAGTTTATAAGTTGATCAACACAAGTCGTTGTTCAAAAGTATATTTCGGAAGACATAAGTCGTCGCCCGAAACAGATATATTCGCGATTGGCTAAAGAAGCGTATCTGCATGCAGCATTCCGTGATTGGATTGGTTTGTGGAAGTCTGTGATTGGTTGCACCTGGTAAATCTAATGATGCCTTTATGACAATCAGCTTGAATTTTCGTTTAAAAATGCGAGTAAACGCGAAAAAATGCGAACGAGTAATGATGAACTATGTATAGGAGCAATAGGCATGATGGTCATGATGTCTCTATTTGCACGCGATCTGCACGCAGACTTTCCCACGCTGATTCGCCAAATGTTCCTTTTTCAGCATGTTTTTTAGATAGCAAAGTGCGTGGTATGTTTAATCGCTGGTAGGCTTGAAATAAGAAAATGATTCCCTGCTGATGCCTTTTCTCTTTGATACAGACAAACAGTGAGGTAAGCAGGATTACTGGCAAAATGTGATCTGTTTCGTTCGTGTGAGATTAATCTGTCAAGTAGGAATTATTTGTTCTGAACGTATTTATGTACCATGGCCTAACTAATAATGACTTTCATAAGTCATTAATAGGTACATACATGAGAGACTTTATAATCGAATGGATGCTTGTATAGGCCTAAAATCGTTATAATTTAGACAAATGTGTATGTTTTGCTATGTTATAATAAATGTCATTTCGCCCCATTTAACACAAGACTTTCCAAGTGTAGAAAATAAGGATTTGGCCTAACGGTAACAATGTTAATTAGCGCTATAATCATGTGCTTAATATACTCTAATAAGTGAACAATTGAGATAAAAGTCAAGAATTTTGTGAAGCAGATTATCACTCTATACTTTGAGTAATTTCAATCACCCCTCATTTTAAACAATATAAATTTAAAGCAGTTAAATACGGCTCCAAATTGGACAATGTGCAGGCAATTAAGAAATTCTTTGAGGTATCAAAAGATGTAATCTGTTGATATTCTAGCGGACATTTATTTTGGTCCGTTTTAGGTCAACCAGATTCCAATTCAACTTGAAGAAAAGTAAGTATTACGACAACTGTTTGCCAGGCTTATGCAACAACATTTTGATGATGATGCTAATGGGTCGACTTCTGTTTGTTTCTCCTCTGACATAAAAGTTCACATATCACAAGCGCATGTCGTCTTGTCAATAATAAGATGAGACACGGAACGTCAGGGCCGATGAAAAAGCTGGACCCTCGAAATTAAAATAAAGTGTCAGTCCTGTGAGGATTTGAAATCACGACTTGGATCTTTTTCCTCAAAGAAAATCTTGTTTGTGTGGGAGAGACAATCAATCTTAATGATGAAGTTTTGTGGGGAAGATCATTGAAATTTACTATGTGATTAGACTCACATTCCCTCCCATTAGGCCACACTCACTAGTACTCATATACGTAAAATAGCTACATATTTATGCTCCCATCCCATCGTGATGCGTCCAGCTCTGGTCAAATTATCCTAATTGAGATCTAATTTAGAACTTTTCAGTTGATGCATTTTCTCCACCAGATGTTACCTTGTTGGCTGTTTAGTTAGTTAGCTGGAGATCTCTAAACCATGAGTTCACGTTTATGATCTTTTATGGTGGTTGATGTGTTGATGGTTCTTTATTATTTCCTACCAGGCTTCACTGATTACCTTCCAACCATATCCGTACATTCATGCACTGAGTTTCCTACCCGTGAACTTCAACACCAAGAGTCCCATTATTCCCAGTTGCTACTGTGGCTTAACTTCAGCTCTGTAATTGGAGAGCATTGTGTGTGGATGATGGGACCTTAAAACCAGTTTCAACTTACGTGTAAAGCAACAGGATTGCGAGTTATTTTAAAACGAGTGTTGTGTTGGTGTTGGTTAAGTACTCGGGTACTTAAGTTTCAAGTTAGGCCTTGGGTGGGTTAGTGGAGCACTTGACGTTTCTACAAAATGAGCTGGTGCCCGTTATTACGCTTTTTTGGTATTTCGAAAAGAACTCAATGTCATGAACGTCACACATCGCAAACAACAAGACTCTTGTAACATGCCAGTAAATACTTCGTGACTCATGTATGTAAATGTAACACAGCTAGAATTTCAAGAAAGTACTGCCAACATCATCTGTCAAAGTTGCAGACATATACATACGCAAAAATCAAAATTTTATTAAAATTGAGCTCCATAAATACATTTATTACACATTACCAGCTAAAGATAGATATCACAGTTTCACAGAGATTTCAGTATTATATTGCAAAGTAGTTTACATGTGCATAGTCAAACATTTTAAAATTCCATCATTTGCTAATTGCTTTTTAATTGTACCAGACATTGAACATATTTAAGAGACAATGATTCAGAGTTGAAAGGCAAATGATGCAACAAACGCCATCAGTTTTGTATTAATGCCACCTCACCACGGGCGCCACGGACCCCTTGAATTGTTAATGCCCAAATGATTGTCTTCGGTGAAAGTTCTCCTCGTGTCGTACCCACCTCGGCCACCACCACCGTAGGACTTGGGAAAAGGAGAGCTAATGACATCCACACAACATGCCCCCGCACTGCTATAATTAGTATCATTCGGCGGACACATCAACCTCATGGCCCCCTGATGCTCGTCGGGTTTAAGAACAAACGCGATTTCCCCGTTGTGCATTCGTGTCGGAACTAGTACTGCTCCTCCTGCGGATGATCCTCCATTGAGCCTCATCGTCGAGTTGGAGCTCATCCAAGCAGAAATAGAGTTGCCGTTGTTATGATGAGGGGCTGGGAAAACTGGTGAAAGTTGAGAAATGCTGGCCGGACTGTCGGATGATCTCAGCGTCATTGTGTCATGTTCATCTCCCGAGCCAAAACTCATATCGGAATCTTCCATTATTGGATGAGGGGGAGGTGATGATGGTGACATGGAAGGTATTGGAGGTGACACGTCCATAGAATGGTGGTGGTGGACGTAATGATGGTGACGTAACGATCGGACAGGTATTCCTCCATTTTTACCCCTTTTGCGTAATTCGGCTAGGTGAGCCTTCAAGTTTTTCTGCAAGTCCAAAGCACAAGTAGTGTTGGGAGGAGCAGAAGACGTCATCGTGCTCATTACTGCATCCCCAACAAGGCGGATGCACTCTTCAAAGCCGTGGAGAAAATACTTCTCAAACGCTGAATTGTTTGTGTAATTGGCATGGCTCGTAACGTCGTCGGGGTTGTGGGTGAGATTATTAGGATTATGATTGGATGTCGCTGGAGATGTATCGATTTTTAGACCTGGACTGCTGCTGCTGCTGCTCGTCGTGGTGGTGGTGTTGGAGCTGCTACGGCTTAGGGAATTATCATCTTCGGCGTCAGAGGATGGTGATGTGGAAGACGTTACGTTTGCTGAGATGGCTGATTTATTATTGTCCTGGACGGAGTGAGCCAGTAGGTTTTTGTGCTGTTGTTGCGGATGATGATGATGATTGCTGTTGTTGTTGTGGAGAGACTGGAGATGCTTTAAGGTGAGTTCTAAAACGTCCGCTTTATCAATTTTGGTTGGTCGTCCCTGTCATAAAAGAATAAACTGGTTAATTTAAGGACGGCTGAATTGAATTTGAATCCTGATTACCCTTCCCTCACATTGCATCACCTAAGAAAACGAACCTTTGTGTGTGCACCTAATATCTTGATCTTAATCTATGAGACTCTTTTATGATGAGATAATGAACCAGTCTTCAGCCTTTATTAGCTCTACTTTTATCCACTTTTCCCTAATTCTTATTACTGCTCCTACATACTCCAAGCTCGGGGGTGAAACTGGGTCAATGTATTCAAAAAATCACATCTGTAAAGAAATTATGAGCATGAAAGATGATATTATGACGGAGTATGACAAGCGAGCATCTACCAGCAGCCTCGAGTTTTGATTTTAATGACTACACATTGTCTAATCCAATGTAAATGAACCCATCAACCCACGTCAAACTGGAAAGAAATTATGATTTTGAATAATTTCCAGAATTCTAAATTCGACAGATGTAGTTCAGATTAGTAATGAGCTGCTCATGATTTTTCTGTTGTATTATTCAGGACAAAATTATCAGGGGAAATTTTATATGCGTAATTAAAACCTGCCTCCAGTTTTAGCTACCGGTTTTAATTTCATGAAGGTACCTAAGCCTCTAAATTTGTATGTATATAGCTGCCTAGTAAGTTATGACTAATAAGCGAGACATGAGAAACGTTGCATGTTGTAAGTTTACGTACGTACGTATGGATATTATGTAACCCAGATAATTACTCGTACTTTAAACCCGGGGCAGTAGATACCTTGGGGAAAATTTACCCATTTTGTGTACTCATCGTATCGTAAAACAAAGAAATGAGACTGATGTGAAGTTTTACCTCTTTTTTAGCTGGAGCACAGTTCGCTTCGAGCAGGATCCGTTTCAGCTCATCCAAACTCTCATTGATTCGGGCTCGTCTTTTCCTCTCCATAATTGGCTTTCGAATCTGTGGGGCAGAACAGAAACTGGATTATGAGTCTGAGCTACTGATTGGAAATTGGGCTCTTGAATTCATAATCAGTAACTTTTATCGATGCTGGCTACTGGTTTTCTCCCCACGCATTAAAAATTATATGCACGTCGAGGAACATGAAAAACTATTGGGAAAGGTTCGGCATTTTTTTACTGATTGGATGGAAGAAACGGGATTTTTATTACTATGCATCTCTTACATTGAGCAGGAGGGAGATCTATCTCATCTCAATCTTATCACAGCAAGAAGAAGTTCTTGCCTCCTAATAATTTCTCTCTTAAACACTGCTTTTCATCCCTTCATTAGTGATCATGATGGTGTGAGATTAAGGGAAGAAGGCTATTTAATTTCAGTCTGAGATGCGTATTTAATAATGAACCAAAAACGAGACGTATCATGTTACCCCGTTGACTCAAATTAAGAATTCTGAATACTTTATAAACCTGAATTAAATATTAATAATTTTTAATAAATGACAACAAATATGTGAAAGGGCAAACTATTTCTGTTACAAGTTGTGTCATCATGTTGTAAATTTCAAAGGAATTTTTCTACCTTGAAAACTACTTACATATACTTTCTCATGTAAAAATGTTAAATATTAAAAAAATGCGTTGCCTTTGATATGTTCATATGATTCGAGACATTTTAATTTGAAATAGCATCGTGAACTTTGCATACCTTTCGACTCTCGTAAGACCTGGCTCTCTTTGAAGTGGAAACTAAAGACGTGCTTTCTCCTCCGCCCTGCTTGGCATTTCCACCTTCCTCCTTCACGTGAGCTGTCATTCTGGGCAAAAGATGCTCTTTTTTATTTCGCCGGTTGAGAATAAGTTGCACTGATCTTGATGATTAGGAACTAGGATTGATTGGTTTTCACAAGTTAGTAATTTTCCAGAGCTGAAGCACTGAGCACTTTGAGATTGCTGATGCAGAATTGTATTGAAATGGGTACTCGGATAAAGACGTGATCACCTGGTGAGATGCTATCCGTCTCAAGAGCCTCACTTTTATTAACTGGCACTTGAACTCTAAGGGCTCCTCTCTTTAGTACTTACTGCACGAGCTGAAGGGACAAGTGATGAGAAATTAAGTTGGAAGGCACACCCGGACTGACCACGAGTCACAAACTGAGCAGTGATTCATTCAAGTTTGTAAGAATATAGTTGCATGGTCAGATTTCTTGGAGTATTGCCTATTGCCAAGCAGGTAGAGAGGGAGCTCAGTTTTGAACGTTGGACGATATACGACTCTTCAATGCCTCTTAATATACATCTTAAATAATCATGTACCTAAACACTATTGGACGGGTGAGTCGTTGCTGGTTGGGACCTACACGTAAGGGTACTCTCACTTCTTGGATGATCTGCTTTGGATCCCATCCAGCCCACAAGATCTTCGAGTAAGGCAAACCCAAAAGCTCCTTTTTATCTGAAGATGATGGGCCGGAGGGATCGGACTCTTGTCTTGTTACTTAATAATCCGTAATCTAGAAAAGCAGTATATTGTACCCTCCGCGTCTTTGTAGGTTGGCATCATCGTCCATTTGATATTCATCGTGTCACGCAATAAGGAGGTAAATGCTGTAGATTGGATAAATTATGTCCATGCAAGCAATGCATACCTACATAAATATGCACATAATACGAGCACTAACATATATACGTATTACGTACCCGTAGTTGTGTCATTAGGGTACACTCGTCATTCTCAATTGTACGTAGCACGATACACGTATGCATGTGTAATAAGTAATCTTCCCCTTTTGAGATTTTGTGGGATGGATCTTGTACTTTTATTGCATTTTATGAGACATGTCCCAAGCATGATATTTCTTTATGTTTTGCTGTATTGAGAGCCTTGGGTTGGGATTTATGGAAGTATGAGACCTGGCAAAATCCGGAGCTTGTCAGGATGGATACAGATCGTCACGGTTGAGTGGTCACACGACAAAATATAACGATAAATATCCAATGGAAAATGTATGTATGTAAAAGTTAGCAAGCTGTCCTACAATGCTTCATATTAACAGCATTGGATTGCTCAGCCAATACGGCAGCAGCTATACTTTGTACATATGTAAATTTAGCAAAAAGTATTACACATTTTAATATTTTATAGCACGAAAATTGTGTAAAATAAAGTTTTTCATGACCAAACTAACAAAAACAGAAGCACTATTACTTTTGTTTATAGACGTGCTGTGAAACCAAAAAATGAATACAAGTTTGAGCTCCTTGCTTCTGGTCATTACTGATTTACACAAATGTAGGAAAACATGGAAAGAATGCAGAGCCCAAAGGAATGGGATAATAAAGGAGTGCATTTGGTTGAAAAATATGAGCTTATTTAAACCACACTGAATCATTTAGTGAGACCAAGAAAAAGACGTATCTGCACGTCGACTCGCAGTTGCTACTTTAGAAAGTAGCACTCATTCCTCGTCACTTAAAAACCATTTAAGCGATCCATACAAAATTGCATTGTTACTCGAAAGTTGAAAGGAGGACCATTTAGTACTTATTTATTGGTCCATAAGAAACTCATAAGTAAAGTAAACGAGGCTTGACGACTGCCGACTTTATGACATTTTGCTCCCAAAAGTCAAACGATGGATAGGAACGCTCTCCAATTTCTTCTTGGACTTGAAGAAAGACGATCTTGGGGCACAACAGTTGGTTGTTGAGTACTACATAATATGTTGATATGCAGTTTATATTTCCACTGCTGTGTGTGCAGATATGGACACATTGTGCAAGCGAGGGGCAGGTCAGGGTGTGGATGAACTGCTGCATATTGGACAAGATTGACCCTAAAGGACATAATAAAAGAGTCATTTGAAACATTTAACAGGGACAAATAACTGGAGGCCTTTGTTACCCATGCTCACCAAGACACATTTTCTGCAGGCAAGTATCTACGATTCATATTTATAACAGACAGCACAGCTGCTCTCATTCCTATTCTTCTTTTATTGTGTTTATACGATGGCATTATTCTCAATGTTCTTCTTCTCACCTTTTACAAAATCGGCCTCCTTGAATTTTATTCAAGAATTTGGACCTTGGGTGAAGTGAGTGGGAGAGTAAAAGTGCATGGCTTGACTTACAACTTGTGAGTCGTTGACGTAGGAAAGGAAGTCAAATCTCTGCAATTGAGATGGATGGATGGGTCCATCTCAGGGATCTTTAATGGTTTCATTCATGTCGCAAATAGCTCAGGTTTAGGCAGCATAAATGGCATTTTTGAAAAGTCATACCCCAGAATATGTACATATACCAGTACGAAGAGGGCATATGAATTGTGCATGCGTAAGTACGAGCATATACCGTAACTTCTCAGGATGAAAATGGATGGGTGAAAATGTTCATGCTATCCAAAACTTGGTAAGTACTTGTAAAACTTGACTTACAAAAGTCCACTATTTCCTGTCGTATTTGTTCCCCCGGGACTTTAATAAAGAAAAACGGAATATGCATAGGGACTGCTGCTGACTTTCGTGGTGGTGAATGCACATATAACCAGCTAACAATTGATGGTTGCTGACAATGCTCCAGTTGAATGAGTGGTTTTGTGCCGCAATAGAAAACGCGAAATCGTAGAAATTGAGTGTAGACTGCTCAATTTCATTTCCATGCATTTCAACAATTTCAGCTGCAGTGCTTGACTGACGGAGACCTGGATTTCATTCATAATGCTGACTTATTCACAGCTCCTACGACAGCAATTGACTTCCTTTTATCACCAATTAAGTGGAAATTCAAAAGGAATATGAGCTCATGAAGGAGTCAATTGTTAAATTAAATGGTTCCCAGTCCTCACACAGGAAGACTACAAACCAACTGCAGCCATGTGCATAGCTTTTGACAGGAAAATAAGATTTTTACAAAACGCGAGCTTTGATTTGATAAGTTTTATTTGCTGAAACCTTAAATTTTTAAAGTGGGTTGATTCGATTCTTGTTTTCCAATTCAACTGGGTTATTTTTAGGAAGGATATGTAACAAATAACAACAACATATATTACGTTGTTTTCCCCAATCTTTGCATATCAGCAGAATTTGTGTAATCACCATTTCTATTATTCAGTATTTATTCACCACACATGTCTACATATTGTTCTGCTGACACTTGTAAGCAAACTATATCAAAATGACGAGTTATCAATGAAATTGATGATATCATTCATCCTTGGAATTTTTATTCCATTCCATCATCAATCCAAACAATATAATCATTTTGAATGTCCAGAAACAACAGGTTTGGAAACGTTACAACTTACATTCCAGAGCTGTGCAAACGGTAACTGTGCTGGCAAACAGCAAGAAAATGTCCTTTCCACGAATTTTGCATTGGTGATGTATGTATGCACTTATAAGTATTTATATAAGTATGTAACGTGTACTTATGCATAATTATCTATATTATAAGCTGGAAATGTTTGTCTGCAACGGAAGTGAAAGTAATTTTCCGAAACGGAAGTGAAAGTGGAGGAAGTTAATCTTAATTTAATTACTTCCGATGCGGACTGGTATTCAAGGTGTGGAACTTATCGCCCGGCGGAAGACGGGCTTATACTCTAGTACATAATACTCGAAATATGTAAAACCATTTTCTAAAAAACACACCTAAATAAAAATAACTCACTCGTAATATTTTACCGTAAAGTTTTTAAAGGGGGACATTTTTCAATAAAAAAACTGACAGAAATTTCAAACCTACCTGCAAATTCATTTGTATTAATTAAAGTAGATTCTGTATATATTCTAATCATACATACATGTTTTCGAATAATTTTTTTTACATAAATTCAGTACAGCGATTTGAAAAAATCAGAAGCTGTAATTGAGCTAAGTAGGTTCAAACAAAGCAATTGAAATTAGTCGCATGTAACTATATCATGCTTATGATAATCTCATCTATCAAAAAATGCATGACCACCGAGCTTTAACTATTTAGATTGACCACTTTTAAACTAACTGTGTTCGATCGACAGGCTTTTATACTAGTGGATACTCACTTATGTTGAAAATAATGATGACCATTTTCATCAAATCACGCTGATTATAAGCATTAAGCTTGTTTTATTTACACAAATACGATAACAATTGCAGCGTTTTCGGCAAGTCTGAATAAATGAATGATTTTCAGCACCAAAGGGCACAATTGGAATAAGATTTTTGGACACTGTGGTTTCACAAAGTAGTTCGTCTGTCAAGTTGTTGTGATCAAATTTTAATACCTTCCAATTCTTTTTCGTTCGTCATTAACTTGCAAACGCTCTGTTATTCTCCCCGCCAACTCTTTAGCCCTGAACACACGCGTGAAAATTAGAATATGTCTCAACATATGTATTATATTACACTTTTGTTCGCACTTGTGGCATTGGTCCACTCACAAGGCGTAGATGATACCCTGACTCCTAGATCAAAGGGGGCAGACGTCTCTGAAGCCGTGGTAAGAAAAATTCTACGTTCAGGAATATTTCCCCACGACCAAAACTTGCTGCGGAGGTTGTCCTACGTCGAAAGTCGAGATGGTGAAGATGATAAAACATACAGACCACAATATTTTGGGGGAATTTGGCAATTGGATGAAGTTCTGTTTAACCAAACCAAAAATGTGACTGGCCTCAACACGATTTATCAGAGACTTAACGCCACTTGGAACATCCAATGGAACAGCGTCACTTGGGCTGACCTTCTCGTCCCCATGTATTCCGGATTAGGGGCCAGGCTGTACTTGCACACGCTTTCCCTCAGTAACAGACCCATCCCCGGAACCATTGATAGTCAAGCCGAATACTGGAGGCTCAATTACAACAGGTACGTATTACCTCACGCTAATTTTGTGCGTTTAGACACCCTAAGCACATAAGTTAACAAATTGTTTTCAATTTGATAATCCACGCCACTGACCACTCATCTGCTTAATTTATCTACATATTTACATATATTCCCATTTATGTAGAACAGATCAAAACGCTACAACGTACAAGGACCTGGTGAAGAGACTGGAAAGCGATGGCGGTGTTTGCGAAGGGTTGATGGACATTTGCATAGTCCTTGATGGGTCTCGGAGTATCGGAGCTGGCGCCTTCATTCGAGCCAAAGGCTTCGTTGCCGACTTGGTCCAAACTTTCTCCTTGAATTCCACTCGTGTGGCGTTCGTTCTCTATTCTGACAATGCACAAAAAATATTTGACTTTAGTAACACTCTAACTCCCTCAGCAATGAATACCACCATCCGGAATGTGCGTTATCCAAATGGAAATACGAATACTCCTGCTGGTCTCCTCATGGCGGTCACATTCTTCAACCAGGCCACCCCACGACCCGGAGTCCCACAAGTTGTTGCCACGTTCACGGATGGAAATAGCAATCGAGGAAACCTCACGGTTGCCGTTGCCGCAGTAAAAACCGCTAATTTGACTTCCTTCGCCGTTGGAATTGGCAACGAGCAGGACATCAGGGAAAGTGAGCTTCAGCAAATAGCACTCAACGACTCGTCCAGAGTTTTCAGGGTCAACGACTACGAGGCACTAGCCGAATTCTTTTTTCAAATGAACAAGGCCACCTGCGAGGTTCCCCAAGAACCCGAGATTGGCGACGAACACAACGGAACACTGAATAAAAATGAAAAGAGATATTTCAAATATCAAATTCCCGATGGAGGATTCACGCTGACTTTATCAGCCACAAGGGGACAAGTTTCTGGATGGTATTCGTACACTGTGGAAACTCCCAACTCTGCCATACACCAAGGAACCTTAGGACGTGCCACCTTCATTCCGAAGCTGGGAGTGGCCCAAATAAATTCCCCAGTTTACATTAGCATCCAAGGAACCTCTGATGGCGAGTCAGATTATAAACTGAGCACTTTGGAGGGAAATCATTCAAGTGGCGAATCCTTGAGGTCTCCTTACCAAGTGATTCTCTCCCTCCTCCTCGTCCTCTTTTATGTTAAACTGTGAAAACTCCTACGTATAACTATCTACTCTAATTATGCAAATTACCAATATTTAGTGTCAAATAAACATCATGAGAACCCTAATGAAAGGTTCGTTTGAAATATCCAATTCGCATAATTTTTCTTATTGTATCACATCTTAAAGTCTATAGATTTTCGAGTACCACCGACAATTTAATTTCGTATCCGGTTGAATTAGATAAATTTCACTACTGAAATCACCTTCTCGTGTTTATTGCTTTCTAGTATGGCGTCAAAATGGCACGTGCATTGCACTTCGTGATCATCACATACTGAGTAATTAAATACGATACGGAATAAAATAACACTCTGACCATTAGTGTACAGGTGAATTACATGCCTCCGAATTCACAGCACACGAGTGCACACGTACATATGCATACGAGTACATACGCAGATAAATTTCCTTGGCTGAATTTGCGGCGAAATATAAAACCAATAAGTTTTTAGGTTGCGTTCCGTCACTCAACGTAATTTTCTCGGCATTTCATTTAATGAAGTGAATTTCTTGGTTTTATGGCATTTCATGTCAGTAGAGTGGGTGCACACAAGATCGCATAAAAACCGTGCGTCGTTTTTCCCCTTGTTCTCCTATCTGACACTCTGACACTTGGAAGCTTTCCTCTTCAATCTGGGCGAGCGAGATGAGTTGTTGGTTCAATTCATTCGTTTTCCACTCCAATCTCGACTACCTGTTTCATCCTCTCTCTCTCGGCCCACCTTGTAATCCAATACTCTCCATTTTCTTTCACCTCTCCCATACAAAAACCAATCCAGGCAGCCCACGCGTTTCTCCTTAATCGCATCGGGACAGCCACACGATATTCAGAATCTGAATTCATGCCTCTCGTTGTCGAGCTGTGTAGCCCAATTTTCTTTCCTGCTCTCGTGTACCTGAAAAAAATCGGCAGGGAAAGTAGAGAAAGTCAAGCATTCATGCCTACGTATTGTGAATTCTGCTGCAAGACCCTTGAGTGGAATTCTCGTGCATATGTTCCTGTCATAACTAATTGTGCTAAAAATGGAACAATTTCATTTCTGAGAGATATGTCAGGCACACTACAGTCTCAAGTTTCATTGCTGATGGGATTATATATGTGCAAGTATTATGAAAATAAGGAAATGTCAGCCATAATCTGATAAAGAGTCGTTTTAGCTGGAAATGGATAAAACTGGTATTAAACAGATCAGAGTCAGTATCAAAGGAGGAAAATGTGACATGTTCCAGGAAATCGGTGTACACAGAATATTCTTCACAAAATTAATTAATTCAACTTTCACCGAAATTTTTCTCCATGTCAAGAGACAAATATGCATGAATATTATTTCCTTTGAAAGATACTCATCAGAAGCTATTTACTTTGATCTCATGCGTCATGTAAATTGTGGCACGACATTTCTGACTAAATGCCAGTAAATATGCGTATCTTGAACATTCATCCATCACAAGTTATGGTTACAAAGATTAGATGCTTTGGTAAAGCGTACAGCACAATGAAAAATATGATGTGGGAGGGTTGGAACAATGGAATGAGCAATTCACCTGGAGGTGAATTAATACCTCAACAAGAAATATCTACTTGGATGATGGGTTGATTGTGGATTTGCTGCTGCGAGGCTGGAGGAGGGGGCGGTGTAGTGGAAGATCATGTTGAGACTTATGAGGATGCTCAGGGCTGTTGGAGATTAGACACATTTTGGGAGAAAGTTCTTGTTTTACTTTATATTCCTAATATGTATAAACAGCCCATTTGGCAGCATGAGGTGTTGTAACAAACCCACGCCGTTTGGCATAATCAGCAGCCACAAAGTGCGATTATTATTGTCCTCATATAGTACTTCCATACATACATTCAATATTTAATTCCTTACTGTGTTGCTATCCTCAGTGCTGCATAATCAATCAATTCACAATTAAGCTGGTACATACATACAGATGTTTATGTAATATGGTTTTAGTGGCTTGAATCCCCATGATATTTATATCAGCACCACTTCGCGTGGGTGTGTCGCAACCGATCAAAATTCAATGAAAAATTTGTATGTGGGAGGGTTGGGACAAAGCAACGAGAAAATTAACCTTGTGTGACAGCAGCCTTTTAAGACAAACTCGTGAATCTGTGAACAGTTGCTAGTTGAAATGCTTTTCGTTCTTATGTCAGAAAATTAACTCACTACATTCCGCTAATTGAAGATATGTGCAGCTTTTCATCTTGAAAAATATAACCCAAGGAATCGTTATATTGGTCTCCATACAAAAAAAAACACTGTATAAAACCTCTTAATTGCATGTCCATTCCATGATGGACTTAATTGGACCAAGAGTTTTTGCTACAAAATTCGTCGTTTTGTATTTGAGTTACACAACCTCTAATGAAGAAATGAACCTGTGAACCACGTAGCCTGTGAATTTGCTTTCACGTATTCAGAGAAAGCACAAGGTTCACAAGAACTGTGATACTGCTTAAAAATATCGAGACCTGCTCGAAAGCAAAGTGATTGATTTGCCTCGAATACATTATAAAAATGTGCGCTATACAGTCTCTCGTGTGCCATGTATGCAATATTTTAGGGAGAAAGGTTGAGTCCATTTTCCGAGTTTCATGAAATTATCCGATCACTCAGACCTTTACGAAGAACTCACTCGCTTCTGTTTACTTGCAAAGCAAATAAGCCAAAACACATCCAAGGCATATGATTGACGAAAAAATAAACAAATTCTTTAAGAGGCATTTTTTTAGAACTCATGGATATAATTTTTTTTATTCATTGGTCACAAGCTTTCGGAGAAAAATACTTTTCCCTTCATCGTGTAACAATCTGTAAAATCATCGTGCAGAACATGACCACAAATGGAGTGGCGCAGATTGGTACTTCTGACCACATCATAAAGGAAATATTTAGGCACGACGGGGACCGTTGTTGAGAGGAACTTTGGGAGTTGGAACTATTTTTATGATAAAAATAGTGAATAAAAATAATAAACGACGAACATAACTCGGGGTCTTCCTCATAAAGCTCGAATTGAATTCAGGGCCAGATTATGGAGTTTGTTTCTCATTTGTCTTACTTACATTTCAAGTGGTGGAGGACGAGGAGGGCCATGTCTTATCTCCCATCACGCTTTCTCCACCCACACAATGCCGTCTTCCTCATTCATCCCCTACAACAATTCACCATGCAGTCTTTACATCATCACCATCGTCCTCGTTTATGTTTCATCAGCTTTTATTAATCAAGGTCAAACTCGCCTCATAATTTTGTTGGGTTTGTTTTGATAGAAATGTATCATCACAAATGAAATCACGAAAATAAATAAGTAAAAGATCAATGAGACGAATGTTCTTTTGGGGGCTAACTCCTCATAGTTTGGAAACCATACGACACAATTGAAGCAGAGCTAATCTCGAAAAAAATCAAAAGAAAGCGAGAATGCGACGACTGTCTTCGCTCATAACTCATAACTGAAAAAGTTTCCGGAGATACTTTTTTCGGGTAAACTGCGCAGAAAAAAAACAATTTAACGTTTATAAACTTTACGACGTGATTTAATAAGCAACAATGGGATTAAGCGTATAAGAGATTGTTATTTTTATAATATTAATCGCAACCCCTGAGAAACCTGGTCCTAACATCCAAGGGAAATTACGTATGTATCTAGATAAGATTTCAATTCAAAGCTCAACACAATTTTCATCGCAGGAAAAGTGGCAAGAGGTTTGCGTATACTCGAAGAACTCGACATGAGAACTTGACTACACGTGTTTCCATTAACCAAACTTTCTGATAAAACGGCAAGAAAATTGATTAATCCATTAAATTATCCAACTAGCTAAGCACTTAATTTAGCTCCAGAAACAACTTACTTTCACTCAGCAAACTCAAGCCCATTAGAAGCAAATACATACGTACGCATTTCTTGCTCGAAGCATATCCGGCGTGAGGTGGTGTGCGTGTCAACATCATAATTTGCATTTCCTATTAAATCATGCGTAGCAATTTACGCATGTTAATTTAACCTAGTTTCATACTTCCGAAGAAGCAAACAAATTACAACCTGACATAAGTAATTAATTGTATTGGGAATTTTATTTATCTAGGCCAAAATATTCAGCCTTGCAGCGTATGGCTTCTAACAATTAGCATTCCTTGTTGCTCTCGCCCACAGGGGACACTAATTTTACTTTAGTCCAGAAAATTTTACTTTCATCTGATCTGATAAGCAAGCTTAACTATTAGCCACGAAATCGCGACAAGCGTAAGGCGACAAGGTACTAAATTGCTCGCGACCTGTCAACTCAGTAAAATATTTCTTAAGCCCTTGATAACCAAAGTCCCGGTTAAGTCGAATTTAGTTTAAGCTACTTAAATTAATCAGCTCAGCATAACACGCATTAAGGCTGAATTGTATTAAAGATGGAATTTATGTATAAACCACCTGAAATTTTAGTCTGAAAACATGATAGTGGATCCCACTCATAGGTGATGATCAAGACACGGCCATAGGCCTAATGATTTAATGATGAGGATCAAATAATGCACAGATTAAAACCATCGAACCACAGATTTGCTCACCCAGTCGGCAATTATAATTAGCCGTTATAATTAACCGTTACGCGCTTAACGGTTGTTTCCTCCTATCTTACAATACTTTTTTACTTTTTCATTCTTTTCCTTCTTTTTTTCCCCATTTACCCACAAACCACCATGTGAAGCAATCCTCTTCGTCGTCCTGAAGAAGACCCTTTGAGGTCGAAACGTTGACAAAAAAGGCCTAATCCGGACCCCTCCAAATACTACAAGTGAGCCCTTATCCTTTCACTTTTCCAATTATAATTAGCCCACGATCAAAACTATTAATTAAATAACTGCATATTTTAGTTTTATGCAAACACCCACATAATTCGCACTAGACGACTTCATCGAGAAAATAACCAAATATACCGATAAGTTTCAGCACTTGCAATGTGAGCTGTTTTTTATTTCATTCTGTGACTAACTAATTTCATAGCTGCCAGTTACTTACTTAACTGACTGAAAGTTTCCATCAACTTGTAGCTGTCAATATATGCACTACATTAGTCCACGTAAGCTCAACCAACTGCTACTCACATGAAATTCTATATAAATCCACAATGAGAGAAAGTAAGTCAACTCGTGCCAAACTTGTTCCAGTTTCCAAAGAACTCATCGACCATGAACGTCAGAGTATGTCAGACTGACTCTATCTTAACGTACATGCATAATATTCAATATTTATCATACAACGTGCAACTACGCATCATGTTGGAACTATCTTTAACAGATCTTGACTCAATGACTACACGAGTCGATGTTGCGCTGAATGAATTGTTCTTTGACACCTTCATTTACGATTACGGGGAACAAATAAATAAACCAAGTAACAACCTGGTTGCGTTATTGGAGCAGTAAAAGATGTTATTGTTTTGAGTAATTTCGGTGTCTCTGCTCAGAACACCGAATGCAATTTCGGTAGAACAGTATGCGTCGTGACACGACACGTGGAGTAAGGGGCCGTCCATAAATTACGTAACGCAAAAATCGTCATTTTTTAGACCCCCCCCTCCCCCCTCGTAACGGCATCGTAACGCTTCTCGACTACCCCCCCTCCCCCTTCGTAACGTAACATAAATTTGATTTCACCGCAGATGATTTACTTAGCACTCGCAATGCATTGTGCGGAATTTTGGGGCGGCACCGATGAAAGGAAAGGGGGGTATCGCTCATTCTGTTACCACAAAATAGAGCCAAAAATCCAGTTTATTTTTACTTATACAACCAGATCATTTCGGTTACTCCATTTTGAGATATTTAAGGTCAAAGTTTGACCGCAAACTTTTGCAAATGAATTGATCTGGTTGTACATATCTATGTAAAAATAAACTAGATTTTTTCGTATATTTCTTGGTAACAGAACGAACGATGGACTCGTTACCCCCCCCCCCTTCCTTGACCGGTTCCGCCCTAAAATTCCCCACTGTAATGCAACCTTTTCTCAATTTACACCTGGAAAACTAATGAAAAATGTATATTTACTACATGCGTACACTGAAACCTTTTGGATGACATGAATTCAATATGCTCGGCGTATCATATTTGGCGAATTTTAGTCCAGTTTATAAAATGTGTTACGTAACAAATTTTTTATACCCCCCACCCCCTTCATAACAATTCGTAACGCACTTCCCATGACCCCCCCTCCCCCCCTCTTGCGTTACGTAATTTATGGACGGCCCCTAAAATTATGGTGACACCAATATTTTCTAGCAGTCTTACAAATTGTAGTGCCGTCTGATGTATTTGACTTGGCCGTTCATTCCAGAAAGTTTGCGATCTTGATGAATGAAATTAACGGATAAAAATGACGCATTCATTGTACTCGTTATGGAAAAGTTGCATTATTTTATTTCTGCAGTTCGAAATAACTTGAGTTCCATAAAAATAATTTAAATTTCAGCAAGTTTCAACATATTTTGTGGTAATTTTGCTTAAGTAGGTTAAGGCCAAAGAAAGTTTATTGTATTGTATGCTTTATTTCATAAAATAACAAAATTACAGAAAAAACTATAATAATAAACTATGACGGTAAATTAAATTAGTCATCAACAATTGCTGGATGCATCACGAAATTCAGGAAGTTTCAAACCAACTTCATTTTTCAATAAGAACAAAGCCATTTTTTGCACAACAAACGCCGGTGCTTTTATAAACAGCCTTTCATAGCATTCTCTCAACATACTATTATTTCAATAATATACAAACAATAATAACCATACCAAAGATACATCAATAATATGTGTGTCAGTTGGCACTGTCAGATGTTATCATCCAATTGTCAATTAATCATTTGGCGTCAGTGGTCATTACCCGCCATGTTTCCAACCTTAGCCTGTTTTTGGATGATAAATAGCCTTCTCGCCCAGGCTTATCAACTACACTCAAGCCCTTACACCAAATATTCATACTCAGCTAGTGGAAGCATGCCAGCATTTTACAATAATAATCCAGCAGGAATCCAGCACGATGGAAGATTTAGCACTGTTTTAGAAAAATACCTCAATCGCACAGAACCGGAAAAGATCGAAAGCTACAAAGAGAAAAATTATGGAGATGCTTGTCAAAAGTCTTCCGATTGTAATAGAACATCACGACTAATTTGCAACATTGAGGGAAGGTGTGTCTGTAAATTTGGAGGTTCCAGCATTTTTGATGAAGACCTTTCAATTTGTGCGACGCGGCTGGGCCACATTTGCACAACGCACAATGGGCAGCACTTCTGCACCAAGAATGCCGAATGTGATCCGATAAAGAAAGTCTGCGCGTGCATCCCAGGCACACAAAAGGTTGGAGGGAAGTGTGAGCCTGACCAGGAACCGGAAGAAGACTTGGACTACTTTGACAGCGGAACAACCGAACAAGATCAGAAAATCAGTTCCACCACTCTAAAATCCCTTCTAGACTTTGAGCGTGAAAGCGATAGTATTGCACAACAAAAGTCAACATCCGTGAATGACTACGACAACGGAGGAGATGACGAGGAATTGTTTTCTCGAGGGGACGAGGATACGGCTCTAATACCGCCTTCGATTGCGACAACCCAACAGTTGGAGAAATTCGAGTATCAGATGGAAAGTGACACCACGTCTGGAGGGGATATAGTCTCAACCCCCGCATTTCCGGCCCACTATTCCGACCCCGCTCCCACCACCTTCCAGACTAGCTCTTCGGACAACAGCAACAGCAACAATGAGGATTCTATCGTCCGTCCTCCGTTTCTTCCTGTACCCCTGCTGGAAATTCCGACACCAATTCAGGCCCCACCAACAACCGAGTACGGTGTCAATTATGCTATTCCAGAGCCACCCACTTTTAGAGGAGAATCTGTGGAAAGCGTAATCAGAATGCCGGAGACAACACCTTCGTACCAACAGTACCAAGGCGTATCTGAAAGAGAATTACCGGTACACGAAGTACCTGGACAATTTGAGGCTGCCGACATTCCATGGCCATGGCCAATCGAGAATGTGGAAGAATCGTCGCCATATCCAACAATCAAGGAGAAAGTAAAACTGGGTGAAATGTGCAACAACCAAAATAATGGAGAGTCAAGTTGTGGCGTGAACGCAGTTTGTCAAGAAATTGGAAATTCTTCCGATTTCGTGTGCGTGTGCAAAGGCAGTTTTATTGGCAAGGCCGAGTCTGATACAGATTGCATCGAAGAGCAGATGACGGAGAAAGATGACATATTTCATACCAATAAGGATCACATGGATGACAACACAAACATTAATGTAATTACACCTGCTGTGGTTTCACCCTTGGATCAAAACACAATCCTAGAATTGGACGCAACGAAACCATTACGGGAATTCCTCCTCGTGGGCGAATCGTGTGTGCCTCCGTCATCTGAGGGAATTGAGAAGAATAGTTTGAAGAACCCGGAAATCAGTCTTTCGATTTGTGTCCAAGATGCGGAATGCGTTTTAGTCACCTCCCTCTTCCAAGAGTTCAATATTTGCCAGTGCAGGCAGGGATTCTCCAGCACGGCAAACGGCAAATGTACAAATTATAGAGCCACATCATCTGCAAGTAGTCGAATGCTGTTGAGCCGAGAGATTCAGTTGACGTGGTTGGGCTTTAATTCACTCTGTATAATAAGTTACAATTTTTTCTTGTAGTTTTGTTTGTTGGGTGGTTCAAAGTTGTTCTCATTCATTGGCTTGTTGACATTCAACATCAGCAAGCAAAAAAAGAGTCTAATTTATTTTTTGTTATTTTACTACATGTTTTTCCAATCTGCATATGTATGAATTCGAGTATGTGTGTACTTATGAGTCGATCCTTCTTGCCGTTAACTTGGATAAATAAATAAAAGTTGTTTGGTTCTGTCATCTGCGGCAAGTGATTCGAGTTGTCATCATATTTTCCTTTGACGTAAGAACACACTTTCACATCAACATCGACTAATAGATTGTTTGTCGACCCACATTTCCATTTATGCTTTCACATGAATTGGACATAGAATAGCAATGTGCAATACCTTCCAACTTTGTTCACGTGTCGATAACCCACAGGATTCTTCATAATGCCATGACTCAGACTTTCGATAGGCACACATGCATATCAATAATACAGCTTAGAAATAACGGCACAATTATGTCCAATAAAAATATGGAACTCGTGGAACATGAACAAAGGTGCTAGTCTATCCAAATACCGTGTAACTGTAACTGTAAGCGGATTAAACAATAAAAAGATGAGTGTTCCGTAGTTCAATTAATTGTCCCATCCATCAAGTTCTACTACTCACTTATATTTCTTTTAAAAAGTACCCAAGTTACATATTTTCCGAGCTACGACTAACACTAAATAGACACTAAATCGTCAAACTATCCATGCACGTACCTCTCTCGGGGTTGAAAATGTGGAAAAGCTTTGAATTTACTAATGAGGATCGTTTATTTTTATGCCCCGTGTCAAATGTAGGAAATCACTCTCAGGAAGATCGTTATCCAAATATCTCGTGGATTGCACAAAAATATACAATTTCCAAGTGGAGGATGTGCAATACAGCATAAAAAGAAGATTGACGCCACTCCTCGCATTACCACCGTCATGGATTTTACTGGTTTAAATTATGTTTGAAAGCATATTAATGACCAAGAGGTTTCTCGTCGTGCGTTGCTTTGATAATAATTATGTCGACGACTCTGGTGGATTAGCATGCCTATAAAACGGAAGAATGGATCCGCTGAAGTCATCCAGTCTCCATCCAGTCTCCAGCCAAAACTCTCTCTCTCTCCTCTGACGCTACCTCAGCTACCACACGTCTCACTTTCCTCTCACCCGTTCTCCCTCATTCATTCCAGCTCCCACACAAAATCCTAACTGGCGAACTCAACTTCCCGACTAAATCCAAGAAAAATATCAGCAAATACAAATTGGTTCCACACGTACGTACTTGCACAGTTCCATTCCCCACGCCTGTTGAACTGCACCCATCCATAACTAAAATTCACACTTGACTTATTCGGACCGATTTTCTGGTTCGTCAAATATTCACAAAAAAGAGGAGGAAAGTTTTGACGAGCAGGGGAGAATTGTAAACAGTTTGCTCTCCTGAGTACACAAGATCATCATTTCATCCACCACCCACGCACGGCATCTTCCCGTGTGGCTCCTTACGGAGAAAGTGGTGCAGAGAGCGAGGTTGACCTACCCTTAGGACGCGCAGTCCGTTCAATGAAATAAACATTTTCACTCCCAAACAAGACTCAGCTTCATTACTATTTGAGTCTCCTGGTGAGAATGATATAACTTTGGGACGTGCGGAGCAACAATTAAATTATGCTTGTCTGGTACGCTCCTCTCTGCAAACCGTCTGGCAATTAACACCAGCACTCGTGTCAACCGGAGCAAGCATAAATTTGACAGTTGAGTGTCAACCTGTCAGAAAATTAACGGCATTGGGGAAAGTTGCGACTTGACTTTCACTCAAGGAACCAACTAACCAAGAAGAAGAGACCCGAGACGGACGACCGAGGAGGGGAAAAGGTAAGCCATACGTTCTTTCTTTCTGCTCTCTTTTCCTATGCTGCTTTCTTTTCTGTGGCTGATTTGGTGGTGGTGGAAGTGGTGCTGCGTCTTAATTAAAGCTCCTCTCGACACACCTTATCTGCCTCCACCTTGCCTCACCTACGTAGATGGACCTGCCTACATATGTCCCAACCTGCCCACTGTTTGCTTGACAGTTCTTTTATAAAAGTTTTCATTTTCTCCCATTGTTTAGCAAATAAACTTCTCAGAAACTAGTTTCTTCACATCTTTTGTGCACAAAGGACACCTTGTTGTGCTTAGACAGGTTTTTACATCTGTTACTTTTCCCAAGTAATTATATAAGTAGATGTGAAGCATAATGGTTCTCTCATTACAACTTTTCCCTCATTACCAAATGCAAAATGATAATTTCCATTGGATGAAGGGAAAGAACAAAGCGAAATTGTGCGCAAGTGACTGTCTTCACCTTGTTACGTACGTGCACGTCGTATTTCTCAAAAGCTTAAAACTGGAACAGTTTTTCGAGCTTTCAGAATTCTACGTTTCTCTCGTACGAGAAGGAAGACATGAAATGCATGAAGATAACAAACTTGTCTCTTTTACGACCACGCTTGATTTTTCCCCCATTGTCAGCAACGGGCAAGATCCGTTGTTGTAATATTTTGCCCTTTTTAGCCCGAGTCAGGGCTTATGTACCCGTCATGTCCGTCTGTCTGTCTGTCTGTCTGGTTTGCGATAACTGCCGTTAAACTAATCCGATCGACTTGAGATTTTGCACAAATGTAGTATGGGTCAAATGAGGAGTTAAGTTCGAAGATGGGCGAAATCGGTCAAGTGGTTGACCGGTGGGGGTCATATAGGTGGGTGGGGTATTATGCATCAAAATTTCAAAATTGCCGTAGAAAGCTGAAATTAGGTGCAGAGGTTGATAATGATTTCTAATGAAGGAATACAAAGTAAAATTGCAAAAATTTTCATCTGGAGGGACCCTGGTGACCCATACCGATTTTTAAAACTTATCCAATCGAACTGAAATTTGATACATAGGTTGTTAATGACTACCAATAGAGAATATGAATTGAAATTGGACACATATTCACCTGGGCAGACCCTATGGGGTGACCCATACCAATTTTTCAAATTCGTCAAATCGAGCTGAAATTTGGTAGACAAGTTGGTAATAGCTCCTAATGGAACAATATGCAGTAAAATAAGAAAAATTTTCATCTGGAGGACCTTATTGGGCGACCCAATAAGGTGACCAGGAGAAAAATTTGTGTGCACCAACAAATGTATACGAACCTAGTCACCCGCGTGGCTGGAATTTACATATGTTGCGTCTAAAATAAAATAAAATAAATAAAATAATCCTTTAAAGTCAACAGATATCAGTTAAAAGCAAACTGGTTTCCAATCTATGACTGTCCTTCTCACCATATAACTCTGGTGATGAGTCGGATCTTCTCACAGAGAACGGACTCTGCGAGGGCTCCCCTTTCTGGCATTGCCAGACCGTCTGGCCGGGTTCACCCAACCATGAGAGGAGCACCCACCCCGTACTAACACCGAGCCGAGTAGGATTAGCAAATAGCTTCCCGGACAGAGAGGAATCGAACGTGTGACTGCGTGGTGACAGTTCCGCCCCCGAACCCCTAAGCCAAAGGGCTATTGCTAATATTACTAGGAAATATCCTGAGAGTTTTAGGAAAAACTATACACTCGTTTCAAAGCTATGGTCATGGTCAATATTGGTGACCAGCGAGAAAAATATGTGTTGTGCACGAACAAAAGCATATGACCCTAGTCACCCGCATACCTGGAATTTATATGTTACATTGAATGTTGGTAACATAATATCCTGAAAGTTTTCAGAAAAAATATACACTCGTTTCAAAGTTATGGCCACAGTCGATACTGGTGACCAAGGGAAAAAATGTGTGCACTAACAAAAATTTAGTGATAGTGGATAAATTTTAGTATATGGGTTACTAAAGGCTCTTAATTGAACAATTCGAAGTTTAAAAAATTTAAATTTGAAAACAGATTTACGCCTGACTCGGGCTATATCAAGTCTGCACTGTACGTTTTATTATTTGTGCTGCACTATTTTTAGGCTGTGCTCGCAAGTGCAAAGACATTTCTTTGTGTTATCACTTTGGATATTAAAATTGTGACGAAAGTCAAACTCAAAGTGTGTACACAAGAATTTTCATCCAAATTCTATTTTGGTAAAGTTGATTGATTCAACAAGCAGGTGATAGGGCACGTACGTATCCATTCTTGAATGTAAGACCATCATGTAATTTATTTTTTACGACACCGCAGTGAAAGTGGAGAGAAATATGACACAACGCGTCATGTTTGCTGTATCAATTGAGATGTGAATATGCATCTTCCAGTTTGACTTAAAAGAAACTTTGTCTCGCGAAAGGTTTGCAGATTGGAAATTGGAAAAGTTTTTTTTATCCAGTACAGAATGGGTGCTCTGGAGAAATTAGTTTCGTGTGAAAGTGCTGTAGTAATGGCCGTTCCATCCATACAATTGCTTGTACATATAGACAGGCATACGTTGTAGGCGTGTTAAGGGGACTTTCATAAGTAAATATACTGTGAAAAGGATCTGCGATTCCTTTCACCCATACTGCTTGCTTGGACGAGCATGACATATTGGTAAACTCAACAAGTTAATGCAAGAAAACAGTTCTCATTTCCTTTGAAAATTGTACAGGAAAAGCCTTGATCAGTTCAAAGGAACGATGGCACTTTGACCACTCGAAAAAACAGATCGGTTATCAAAGAGCTTCACAGCGGCTATCCCCAGTTTTTTACACGTACAAATTTCAAGTATTCGTTGTGATCAAATTCCTATCGAACCTTGACATTCGTCATTTACAACTTGAACATGACCAGATAGGGTTTTCCCAGAAACGTAAAAGTTAAACCACGTCCAACCAACTATGCTTAAGTTACACTTTCTCAGATCTATTTGATGAAAGGTCATATTTATTGCGACATTGAGAGGATAAGTAAACTACTTTCAAAGGTCATTACTTATTTGCACAAATTTATTTACGAGTATTCATTAAAATTAAAAAATTAAATTCATTCAAAATTGGGTCACCATCGAGCAAATTCAATGACAAATTCTCCTCGTAGTGTTCAATTCGTGAAAAATCAATCATTTACCTTGATTTCAAGTCCATTGCTTATTGACATTGGTGACATTGAAATCTATTTATTGTTCTACAAATACGCGAGCTATGTACAAGAAGCAAACAGCCTGAAACAGGTAAATATGGTCTCCACCGTTGTATTTACGAGAGGATTAAAGGTTCATCCTGCAAAGGAAAGTTGCAAGTTTACCTAAATTCATTTTACATGTGGAATATGAGGTTTTTGTCAACTCATGCGATTAATCAGGGTAAGTAGAGCACATGCCAACTAATGGATCCTCGCCCTCTCTCCTGGAAAACCCAGGATTGCTTTCTATGCACTTACTTTTCCTTTTAAAGCAAGGTCGGTTCACCACTGCAATTTAGCAAAATCGGCCTCGCCAAGGATGTTTCGTAACTGGTCAAATAAAATCGTAGCCTAGTTGCTATTTGCTAATTGGATAATTTGTAAATTGGCAATTCATTCCGGGTTGCGAACTTCCTAATAAAATAATGTGGTCGGACACGATACTTAAGAAATGTCTAACTTCCCAGAATGCCAAAGGTGAATTTTCTAATGATACACATTCATAGGTAAATGTGAATAGAAACCATTTACGTAAGAGTTGAATGAAGTAAACGTGAGGGTTATTCAACCAGAATCATTACATTAATTACAACTCCAGCAAACACTACACCAACAATTTTTTGCAACAGTTTACATACGTAGTACTATTGCATACACTAAATGCTCTGCCATGAACTGAATGACACGACATGCATGGCATTTTAGAAACTCACATGTTTCCTAATTTTCCTGATAGAATTATGGTTTTGAGGAATAAAATTTTACGTAAATTAAATTCCTTCGAAAATCCAGAAAAATAAGACCTAATAATAATGAAAACTAAACAAATAGGTTTTTGTCCTGTCTTCCAAGTTAAGAGAGAGGGCACAGGAAGGACGAGTTGAGATTGCTGGAAGACGTCGTTTAATAATTTATTTACAACCTGGTCCTCATTAACTTTCTAAAAGTTATGGCGAGTACGCTGTGCATTAGACTGTGTGGGAGGAAGGTGAAAATCGGGCATATAAGAATCTGAAGCAGGCGATTCATTTGATGGGAACCATAGACTTAGGGAACTGGGTAAATCAACGGGAAGTGAAATTAAATTTGTATGAAAGTGCTAAAAACTTTAGCTGCTTCACCTTAACCGACGACGTGGGAATAAGCGTAAATTATTCATCGAAAAATCGCTGCTCCGCCACAGCGTTGATGATGTGAGAGCTGTAAATCCAGCGTCAAGGAAATGGTAACGCTTCGACGTATGCACGTATGCATGTAAATAGGTTGTGGTTGTGGTGAACTTTACGATTACGAGGGATGGGTCAACTAGCAGCGTCAAAGACAAAGAGACAACCAAAAGATCATATCCTTAAGGCAGCACCATTCGATTATAGGCATAGAGATTCTACTGAATTGACCGTATATACGTAATTTGCTTATGAATTTAAGTTACCCTCGCCATTTTGGCATTATAGGTTTTTATGTTTCTTATTTGCAACCCAGCATGAAAAGTGCTGAAGAATAGTTTATAAAAATGGCCACACGATAAAAATTCTTCTATGTCGCCATTTCTGAGGTGATAAACAAGAGATAGCTTGAAGATGGGATGAAGCTGTTCACAAATTCTAGAATGCAAATTTTCGAATGTAATCCGAGAATAATTTACTTTAGGGAAAGCAGGGTTACTCATTTACTTATCATCTGCTTGTTGTACATATTCGAGCACGGACACTTTCGTGGCTCCAGGCATGGTGAATTTGTAAACTAACATTGCAAAA